TCTTTGGTTTTGATCAGTCATTGGAGAAACAAACTAGGAGGAAAGTAATCCATGTTGGTGTGATGTAAACCTGCTGGCATTTGGAGTGGAAGGAAGTGTTTTGTTTCAGTAGTGATGAAGGCCTTGGGAAGTGATGGACAGATGATTTCCATTAAGTAGTAGCTCAAAATTCCTCTAAACTTTGCCTCTAATGCAGACTCTAGTCAAGTAATGTATGAAACTTTCTATCAGCACATAATGCTGCAGATATGATGACAAGCTTTAAGTATAGTTAGGATTCTAGCATCTGAGTCCCTTCCTGAAGAAACAATGAGCTTTGCTATTCAGAGGATGTGACTCTGAAAGGAGTGATGGGATTTACTACTCAGTCACTCCTTTACACCAAAACAAGTGTTCTGACAGAGGTTTTTCTGTTTAAAATAGGTACTGCTCTCTGGTGCTTTTTCCCCACTCCCCAGAGTTGTAAGCAAGCTTATCAGATATCTACGTTCAGAGGATTCATGATCAAACCAAACATTGCTTCTAGACCCCTTGATAATATTTACTTTCTACTTCTGTTTCAGGAAATTGAAGTGGGTGGTGGCAGAAAAGCCATCATTATCTTTGTACCAGTTCCTCAGCTGAAATCCTTCCAGAAGATTCAAGTGCGGCTAGTTCGTGAGCTGGAGAAGAAATTCAGTGGAAAGCACGTGGTGTTCATTGCTCAGGTAAAACACTTAAAATCATGAAAATGTTGATTTGACGGGATCCCTGGAGGTAATCTAGTCCAGCCTCGCACATGAAGTGGGACTGTTGCCATCATTAGATCGGGTCAGCCCTGGTTTTGTCTAGCTGAGCCTTGAAAGCATCCAAGGATGGAGATTCCACAGCCTCTCTGGATAACCTGTTCCAGTGCTGCACTACCCTTCTTGTCTTATCTAATCAAGGTAACAATGATATAACGTATATTTTTGTGCCAACAGGAAATGTAATGAATGTCTTTTTGTGGATGTAAACGAAAATTATTTCATTTAACAGCCAAGGCTATGTAAACTGGGTGAGATGTGAAGTTTCTTGGAGGAGGATATAAACTTTATTGTCCTGCCCTCTCATACTCCTTCAGAAGTTTTGAGGAGAACATAGAAGCTTGAACGTAGAAGAGCAAATATTAATAGGAGCTTTACTACACTTATCTAAGCACTTAAAATTCAAGTTAATAGGAAAGGAAGAAAAAAAGCTGATTCAAGTTTTCTTTCTCTGAATTTATGGAAGGAGCTCAGCCATGAAAAGGTGATAGAGGGCTTTCTGAGCAGTATTAAAGGGTGGACAAACTGGAGATCTGTTTGCAGAGTGGACGTTTAGTTTTTAGGTTGAAGCTATTTAGCAAAATTTCTTCTTCCTAAAATAATTTGAAGAGCCAGAGCACCTTACCCTGAATATTTGTGGCTGAGAACACGTACTTTAAGTGAGTCGGGTGCTACATTAAAAGAAGTACTTGAGAATTCACTGTTGGTTTAGTAATCCATATTTTTGAAGGGGATGTGTGCAGCAATTCTGCTGTAGATAAAATTTTGCTTTTGAATATGTTGCAAACCAGTTTGGATTATAGTACTCCCATCATGAATACACTCATGTAGAAGCAGTGATGTTTTGGTAGGAAATACTGCAGATGGCTACAACTGCATCTGAACATCAATGTTTTAAAACATCTATCCTTGCAGACAGGGAAGTAGAAAGTAAATTTTACTGATGCAAGCTGGTGTGTATATATACCTTTAGATGCTGCTTTTGGAACAGATTACATTTAAGCCAGGGTTTGGTCTGGGTTGCGTTCACTTCAATCTCAGTTGTCACTTAGCTGTCTGTGGTACTGAGATAGCTTACTATGCTTTGCACCGGAGGCTCAATCTAACAGAAATTGTAAAATTGAGATTTCTGTTCCCAAAGAAGTGTGTTCAGATTGCTAATATGACACTGTAAGCTACCCTGATTGTGTTAAAGGGGTAGGGTGGGCCATGAAATGCAAATCTTTTATTTCAGTGCACTGAATACAGGATCAGTAGATAAGAAATAAAGCCAGTACTTCTGCTTCTGAAAGTATTATCAGGTTCTGATGCTGATGTAGCTTTGGGCATACTTAAGTCTCCCTTTTTCAATGTTTGATGCATCTGTTTCTAGTGGACAAAAAGGGTGCATGTGGTGTTGGGTTTTATTATTTGACTGTAAACTGTAGATACTGAGAAATGCCATTTTTTTTTTCTGCCTTAACACAGAGGAGGATTCTGCCCAAGCCAACAAGAAAAAGCCGCACAAAAAACAAGCAAAAGCGTCCCAGAAGGTAAGTAAATAATACTGATTTACTATAATAGTTTTCTTTTGTAACTTGGTAGTTTAGTCAAGTAATGTTTAGTTGAAGTTTTGAGAAGTTATTCAAGTGATTGGGTGGTCTTGTCCTTTCTCTTACTGCTTGAAATAATTTCTGCCATTTGATTGCTAAACGAAGCAGTAAAGCTCATATTTGGGCACTGTGTTGTATTTTAGAACTCTGTATTTGGCCAATTTTTAGCCAGCAGTACTGGCTTAAGAAACCCCAGCCTGCTGTCTCTGTTACCACAACGTGCTGACAACAATTTTTTTTTTTTTTTAAGCTGTAGGGAAAGCCACATCCACATCCCATGTTAGACTGTACAGAAGGCAGGGCTGGCACACTGGATGCAATGAGGGGGAGAGTGGCTGAGAAGGGGTGTAGGTAGTGAGTAGTCCCTCTTGGTGTGAATTTAATGGCAGCTATATAGTTATGTTAAATGGCCTTCCTGCTCTCATCTAGTCTCTTTACTGCTAGAGATTAAACACTACTATGTCTATGTGGATGTCAGTGCTTCTTCGATACTGTTTTCTGTTTTGCGTAATATCATTATGTAGTCCATGTCTTAAAAGTTTGTCCTCTTTATGAAATGTCGCATGTTCCTGTAACTTCTCCCAGCCCCAGTATTAGACCTGTGTCATATCTGTTACTGGATTTTGAAATCTTCAGGCATGGATTTTAAAACTGCAGTTTCATAGTACTCATCTAACTGCAGTCCTGCCTTTGGAGGACTCTGTGTTTTATTAGAATTAGTATTGTACAGTGGCTAGAGAAGTTGGCATCTGTGTATGTGATTAGTGTGCTGCCACTTGGAGTACGAGGGGAGGAGAGTGTGCAGGACTGTCCCTTTCTCAGCCAGACACTAGATCAAACTAGTAGTGTGGTGAAACTGATATGTGTATTGTAAAGCATAGAAAGGTGATTGATAATTTGTCTCCTTTAGCTATCCCGATCTCTGCAAGTTTGAAATGCTGCTATAGACACAGGTCTTAGTTACTTGTGATACTGCCTTGAGACTGCAGATAGGGAAGCTGGAAATATTCCTAGTCATCTAGACTCATACGTAAAAAAACCTGGATTAATTTTTCCTCATTTCGGCTCACTTCTGGACAGTTCAAGAACACAAATCTAGACATCAGAAAGTGTCTTAAGCATGGACTAAGCTTACCAGCTAGACTTTTTCTGTAATACATTGGTGTTTTAAGCTGTTTGGGTTTAGGCAGATGAAGAAACCAGTGCTTTCAAAGCTAGGTCTCCTATGAACATCCTCTGTGTTGTTGAAGATACTTGCACACTTATATTCTTACAGTGATTGTCTGGCAAAATTGCAGATGGGACAACTTGGTTCTGATTTAAGTAAAATCTTCCTTAAATGTGTATAAATAAAAGAACGTTTCAGGGCTGTTGCTGCAAAGCAACATGTGATCTAAGAGGTCAGAAACCTGGCTACTGACTTTTCCCCCTCATACAGTCATTAAGTTTCTGTGTAGAATTTAGCTGTTGTTTTTGCATGACCTTTGAAAAAGTATTGTATTGTCATGCTGTAGCTTAAACAAAACAAAAAAAAAAAGCAGAACAAAACACCACTGAATTTTCAGCTAAAGCGTGTTTGGCAAACTGGAAAATTTGACAAGAGGACGTGTTTTAATGATACAAATGTGGCATTTCAGCCGTACACTTACTGCAGTGCACGATGCCATTCTTGAAGACCTGGTCTTCCCAAGTGAAATCGTGGGCAAGAGAATCCGCGTAAAACTGGACGGCAGCAGGCTCATAAAAGTCCATTTGGACAAAGCACAACAGAACAATGTTGAACACAAGGTAAACAAAAAGCCCTTTACTTTCTTGTGCAGGATGGGGTGACATTCTGACATAGCTAAGGGGCTGCTTATGTAGTAGAGCAAGATATTGCCTTTTGGCTTCTGACAATGGAAATGCTTGTTTGTATTTGGAGTAAGATGTGGAAGGTGAGACAAGACAGTTTTGAACTAAAGCTCTAGTTCAATTTGCCAAAACTCTTGCACTGTAAAGTAGCTACATTGGTTCCCTTGTGGGAACAGACGGTGTTTTGTTGGGATTTGTGTGTTTAGGTGAGGAACTTAGTTTTGACCTTAAACAGATGTGCTTGGTACAGCCTGAAGTCCCCCATCACTTTGCTTAGGCTTTTTTCTGTGGGGATATATTTAGGCCCACTCAGCTCTCTGGGTGTCCTACGGTTGCAAATTAAAGAGGTTCCAAATATTCTCCAGAAAACATGTCTTCTGTGTAAATGCTCAGCTACCTTAATCTACAGGAAAATAATGAGCCTTAGAGTTCGCTTTACAGTGAAGATGAAGTGGGAAATAGTGTAGTATCTAAGGTATGTTAACGTAGATTTTACTTATACAGTGTGTATAAACAGGATTGTTTGTCTTCACAGGTGGAAACATTTTCTGGTGTCTACAAGAAGCTCACAGGCAAAGATGTGGTGTTTGAATTTCCAGAATTCCAGCTGTAAAGGGCAAAAAATGGCTGAATAAACAACTGTTCATATAACAGAGTAATTTAATTTAAATTTTGAATACCATAAGCATAGATGGGGATTAACTGGTTCATGGGACTTTTCTACTGTCTGGATGAGTAACGTTTGTGTATCAAAGAATTAAGTCACCAGCATTTTAATGATAGCCCTCTTAGGTTGTTGTTGGCACTGTCACAACGCAACTCTGGACAAAAGAGCCCAGAGTCTGCAAAAAGAATTGGCATTGAAAAATACTGAAGTATGTTGGGATTCACCTTTTGGGGAGAATGTGGAGAATTAACTATAGAGCAGTGGAGCTCCTGAGTTTTGTGCTCAAGAATACCAGTTGGAGACCTACGTGTTCCTGACACTGGAGGAAGTCTGCATAGCAGGTGGTGTGACCTCTGAAACATGGAGCAATGACATCTGCAAAAGGGGTTTGAATTTTGGGGAAATATGTTGGTGGGAGACGTAGTTTGAATTCGAGATAACTTTATTGTTCTTTAAGTGGCAAAAAATGCATACAAGTTCTTACCTAAAAGCAGGTCCTGCAGCTTCTCACCTTTATCAGAATGAAATGGGGAGACATATTCATTTCTCAGTGCTTGACTACCTTGCTGGACAAAACCAGGTTTTTTAGGCATTGTTCTTATTTTCAGAAATCACGGATTTTTTTTTTTGTATCCATATATTAGCAGTGTGTCTGCGTATCAGTCTTGAGGTAACCTTTCTCATGGCTAATAACTGAAGGCAGGGGCAGATATGGCAGGGTGAAGCAGTGACTGCTGGAGTGTGTGGGGTTTTTTTGGATAGATGTTTTTAACAGTTCAGCACATGCTTGGTGATATGGGGAGAGGTGGGGAAGGGCTAGCTGTTATTACAGCAGCTGAAAACTGCATGATAGTGTCCTGGAAACACTGCATTTTGGACTTTGGTATCTACGTTTAGAAACACTTTCAGCAAGTAACAGCTCTTCCAGCTCAGGGAAGAGCGTGGCACTGCGCATTTAAATGTTCTGAACAAGTTACATTAATTCAGTGCTTCACTGTACTGAACAGGCTATTCTGTTGCTAAAAAGTAAATGCTTAATACAGTAAAAGGCACCTAATTATGGAAACAGCCTATTAGGTGGAAAGCTAAGTAGGTAACAGCCTGTGTATCAGGAGCTCCTGAGAACTTGCATCTTCCTACTTGAGAGTACATGGAGGACAAGTGCTGTTTAATTGAGCATCTTCATACCTTTATTTCCTTTTCCCATTTACTGTGGTTTTGGTTGCTTCCCATGTGATACCTCTCTTCAGTTGTGAAGAACTAAAGGTTAAAAAAGTTCAGTAGTGGTTTTGCACTGAAGTGAAGGTTTTTAAGTCATGGCCTTAACTTCTGTTTAGTAAGGCAGGACAGATAACCATATGCTGTTACTTTTGGTGCAGTCAAGGCAAAGAGAACAAGAACACATGTGCCCTGTTGCAATGAGTAGTTAATTTCTTGCTACTTACTGACAAGGCTTGAATGTTAGCACAAAAAAGTCTGTATCTTTGAAGAAGTTGGCTTGCCTTAAGGCCTTTTTCCCTCTCCTTTTCAAACTTCTGTATCTAGAGTATAACTTTATCCCTTATTTAGTCCTTTACTATTTATTGTTCATCTTGAATGATTCAGCAAAAGTGAATTCATCAACTTCCCGTATTAGGTGAGGGGAGTTGTAGATATATAATAACCCCCAATCCTGGTTGCTTGCATGGAGAGTAATCACAAAAAATGGCAGGAGTGCCAGAAGTTTAGAATTCAAGTCCTCTATTTATTATATAGGTTGGAAACACCCCCCTCCCAAGTCCCCTCAAAACAATTCTAGTCTCAAGTCAGACATGTTACTAAGCTTTGTGCTACAACAGTTGCAGACGGTAGCCTGTGCAAATAGGTATTTGCTGGTGTGGGTGGGAAGAAGCAGTCTGGGGAGTATTTGGAGACTTACCAGATGTTAACTACCTTTAGTTAGAGGTTGGTGAGTCTGCTGGGGCTGCGTAACATCTGCAAGAGGTGATGCTCAGCAGGCTTCAGTAGACAGCATTTCCTGTTTCATGGTGAAATGTAACTCAGGTTTGATCTCTTCATAGTAATAAAAATGTCAGCGGCATTTCTAGTTCTGAAGCACTTGGAGGGGATAAGTGGGGGAGGAGAAATGTAGTAAACTGAATGTAAAGACTGCAAATGTTCCCCGGCATTGCCAGCTGGCTATAGATTTTTCTTGGCTCTTGTTACAAGCCCTTTGAACAATATGAAATGCAAAGGCCCGTGATAGCCCCATAAGCAAATTCTTTGAGTGAAAGGATAATGCTGTCAAAGCCATTTATGTTGCTTACATCAACTAAGCTGCAAGTAACGGTGGATTTTTGTGGCATAACCAGCCTGTGTGCTTTGCAAAAGACTTTAATCCTAGTTTACCTTTATTCACAGTCTCCCTTGTGTGTTAGTGTCAGTGATACAGGCAGACAACTCCCTCTGTCCCTTGACAAGCATATCAAGTGAATGCCTGCAATCTGGAAAGTCAGTTGATGCCATCTGGTCAAGTGCTAATGAGGCTGCTGGAATACTGGTGTCAAATGTTACCTTAACCTAAACAGACTCCATATGAGATGATGCGAGACTTTTCCCATACCTTTCATGTGCTGGCGCAGCTGAACTCTGAACACATGATACCTCAGGATTTTATCAGCTGATCAGTGTGAAAAAGCGATGGGGTACCCAGGAGCCTGTGCAGTGCAGTATGTGGGTAGAGTCAGTGCAAAGAGACAATCCCTGAACAGTGGAAGACCGATTCTTTCCTGTAGTAACCCAAAATGAGAAGCAAGGGCTTTACATCTGTTAGGTGCTCTTGAGACTTGCAGCTGATATTAGAGCTTTCATTGTTTATTCCATATGAATCCTTTCACAAATGTCTTCAAATATTTTTGTCGGTAAGGATGGCTGCTCCCTGCTGATTTCCTTTTGAAAAGGTGTGTAGATGTGTCACAAGCCTAGTGTGGCAGAACTTGCTTGAAGTTTTGGGTGGTAAGTGCTTGACCTATCTCGTATTTATATGATAATTTGATGCATGATAACATGTCTGATTAGCTTCTCTTGAGTGTAAGTGGGTACATCTGGCAAGTTTTAATGTAGTGATCCTCACACCAAGCAGTGTTAAAAGGAAAACCTGTCACTCCTGCATTGTGGACTGAAATAATCTATTTCATATGCTTTTGTTTTTCTACATTTTTTAAGTGAGAGGCCTGAGTTTGTTTCTGTGGTATATATAACAGCCAGAGCAATGCCAAAAAGCGAGACCTTTTTCTCTGTGGGATGTGTTTTCTAGGTCTCTGGAGGTGTATCAGAATGGCAGGAAAAAAAGATACTGATTACAGAAAGTCATGAAGTCTCATAAAAAGGAGTCTTGTGGCTAAGCTGAAGGAGTGTACATTTTCCTGTCCTCCACACGGGCCTGACTGCAGCATTGATCAGTGCGAACGGTTGACCCCTTTATAATGAAGTGGCTTTGCTGTGCTTCTCACTGCCTTCCTTAAGAGCACTTGTGTAAAAACCTACGTTCTGAGAGCAAGAGGAAGAAGTGACACGAACAACTCTTTGTACTAGTGCTCTGTTCCCTACAGAGAGCTACATATAAAGGATCTTATTTATGTCTTGTGATCAAGAGGAGAAAGTTTGTTGGATTTGCTACAGTCTGCAAGTGCAGGTATCCCCCCCTCTATCTTCCAGTTTTTGTTACTCTTCCTCAGGAAAATGATTCTCAAGCTTAGCAACAAGCATTTGCTGCTAGGTGTTGCTAAATGATTAATAGCTAATGTTTTTCATTACTGGATATTGTGCTGACATGTGTGGCTCAGTTTTGATCTGCCCCTAGAGCAGCAAAGATGGAATTAAAGCCAGGTACTGAAGAGATGTATTCCAGTTTTGGAGGTGGGAAGTAACGGAAAAAGCACGACTGCTGCAGTGAATCCTGCTCAGAAATTTTATGTAAAAAACAATAGTACACCACCACTAATGGAAGTCCAGATTTTACACAGCTGCAAACGAAGTTAAATGCATGTTGCTGTTTCTGCCCTGACCTGTCCTACCGTGCATCTCATGTATTGCACAGAGGTGGTAAGGGTAGCTTCTGGCATCTTCTTGCTCACAGAGGTACAGTGGTGCTGTCAGCCCTCTGGGGCTGTACTGGGGGAATGAGCTTCAGGTGGCTATCTTCACTAGAGCACCTCTGCAGACTGGTGTTTTACCAGGTGTATCTTGACATTTAATAAAGTTATTTCCTATTTTCTTGGCTAAACAATTACTGTTGGGTGAAGCCAAAGGTAGTGGGACATGTCATTATGTTGTCTCGGGAGCAGAGGAGAGGATGCACTCAGCGTGGTGGTGTGCAGAGCTGTGCCATGGAGGAGTCGTGCATCTGCTGCATCTCCTTGGCTATTTTGGGAGTTTACCTTGGGAGGCTTACCCAAGGGCTTACTTTAAATAACTGGAACAGCATTTGTGACAGCCTACAATAAGCTGAGCTGCAGCAATTGAGCTCAGATACAGATTTATTAAGGAGTTTGGGTTTTGGCAATTTTCATCCCCTGGGAAAATCTGATTGGGAATGTTGCTAATACCATGGGATGTTTTGCCAAACCAAAGAGAGAGTTAGGGCCTTGTCATCTTATGACAACATTTTTAATTAGCCATTGTGTTTTTAAATAGGTATTATATTTAATGCTATTACACAAAGGTAATGCTAACTGACTATAGAAAGAATAGAAAAATTTACCTGAAGGCCCCTAAAATGCATAAACATGTTATTTCCTTTTTTGTAACAGACTTGTTCTTTTCCTTTTACAACCTATTTGCTTTTGTCTATGTTGTTTTGGTTGGTTTCAGTCCAAGACTTCTACCTATAGTTGTGTCAGCATGATACTGAGGTTAAAGGCTGGGTGAATGCTGGGTTGTGGGTCAAGCTGAGGTGGCTGGTCTAGCTGGTGTGTCTTGCTGTGTACCATAGTCTCTGAAGGCCATCCCTCTACATCTGGCAAGCATGGCTGAAAGACTTATAAATCAGGTCTTGAAATGCTACAGTTTCTCAGACAAGCATATTAACATAATGAAAAACTTCAGCTCAATAGCCAAGAGCTATTGCAAGCTGGTGATGGCTTAAGCTGTTCTCATGTAGTCCATGCATCAGTACCCCGGTTGGCACATTGTAGCCCCATTTAGACGATGCACCCATGTGGCTACACAGCTTCCAGTTGTCTTCCTGTATGAGCGGAGAATGCTTATGCCTTTCTGTGAGGGGACTGTGCCCTTTTCTCCCTCCATAGGTGAAAGAAAACTCTGTACTTGCTTATTTTCCCCTTTCCTAGAGAAAACACTCTCATTGCATTTGTAGTGTTTGCCCTTTCCTTTTGAACTCTGGTCATTGATGTTTATTTTTCACTTCTGTTTTACCAGTATTTAATCCTACCTTTTCTACTAACTTTCCCTGAAATGGCTCTCTTTCTCCCTTGAATACTGTTTCTGGCCTCAAAGTTATTTGCCTGTGTTTACAGGGAGAGTAGATATGTATGTAAATGGACATTGCCTTTGCCATCGTAATACGATCTTCAAAGGCTTGGACCACAGTCACTTTGCATTCTTTACATCAAATAGTTCTCTTAGCAAGTTGCTGCCAACAGTGCTGCAAGGGCCCAATCCTGCTAATGGTGTTCTGCTCCCACTGAACTAACAGGGCTTGTATGCATAAAAATGAATTTTAAAATTAGAGTTGTGTGATCCTTACACGGTTATGCTCATGTTCTACCATTTTGTCCTTTCTTTACTGATGTACTCTGGAAGTGATCACCAGTTCTTAATTTTTCATGACCATTTGATGTGTGTTAAAATACAGCAATTGATAGTAGTGGAGGAGGGGTCGCTAGGTTCCAATCCAACATGGAAACATGGTGTTTTAGGAAAGGCCTGTCTTTATGAAGGTATCCCACGGTGGGTCCTGAGTATGAGGCACAACTACCTCTGCAGTGCTGTAATACCTGCAGTACCTGTTTTTGTCACCTTTGCCAGCAAAGCTGCTCAGTGTGTGTGGTGGTGTGGGCTGGTAAAGTGGGAGCTGTGGTGGGGAAGGAGATTGCACACCCTGGGGCCAAGGAGAGAGTGAGTTGCTGGGAGAGAGCATATGATGTGAACAAATCAGGACAACAGTGCATTGGTGTAATGTGTCATCAGCTTGTACTGCAACCCCGACCATAGCATGAAATCCTCAATGGAGTGAACCTATACCTCCCGTGAGAGCAGATCACAAGGGTGGTAAAGAAGTGGGGATGGACACACACACACACACACACACATGTGATCCTATTGCAGCTTTCTTTAGTCCCTCAGTCTAAAACCTTTCTGGTGTTCTGATCCTTTTCTGGTCTTGGGACTGTGGAAGATGGAAAGGAACCTCCTCTACTGCCTTAGCCACCATCTTGGTCTTCCACCGAGAGGTCACATACTGGGAGTTACCCAGGCTCCTGTCCCCCTGGGTGCTCACTTACAGCATGACCCCTCTCAAACCCTACCTGGAGAAACTGGGAAGGTGGAACAGGGGCATGAGCAGAGGTGAGGGCAGATGGTTTGCAAGCCTTTTTTGTTGAAGCTTATCAGAGCTACAGCCGTACAAATATAACAGCTATTCACTAGAGGGTGTTAATTGGTATAGTCATAAGCAGTACTCTGAATTTGCCCTGGAAGTTGAGAGTGAAGCCAATAATACCTCTTGAAGTATAAATGTTGGTAACGGAGTTGTTCTCAAAATTCCCCTTCCCCCAATCAGCTGGACCCATTTTTTTCTGCCCAAATGTATGTGGAGTACTGTGGTTCACCCAAGACTCAAACTAGTCTAGTGTCTAGTTGTTTAAGATGAAAACCAGAATTGTACAACTATTTGGAAGCTATCATAAAGGATTTCTGTCTCCATTTTTTCCCTTCCCAGTGACACAAAGTGATATCAAAAGGTATTAAAAAAAACAAAACAAAACCCACCAAAATTTTGTGAAGAAGCCTGCCACGTGAATAACTTAGCACTTATGTTATTGTGGAGTGTTGAGTCTCTGCTTTGAAATAGTTGTGTATTTTACTCAAGAATGCTACAGCCACTTGCAAGAACGGGGAGAATTTCAGTAAGGGGAGAATGTGTTAATTATCCAGCTAAGACACATTCAGTGCTGCATTTCATGTGTTTTCATGCCCACTGAAGCAAATCCAGAAAAGTTCTATGCTGGGGCAGTGTGTGTGCATGCCTTAGAGCTGAACAGTTGTAAATGGTTAAAAAGGGGTTCTCTGCTAGAGAGGAGGAGGGGAGAGTAAGAGTGCATTCCCAAAAAAGTACATTCCCAAAATAAAAAGCTTACATCATGGACCTCTTCAGCTTTCCCACACTTCTTTCCTAATTATTGTCCTGCAGGACAGCTGATCTATTTCAAACAGGAAGCTGTTTACAGATAACACTTGCAACTGTTTTGTCTGATTTGTTGAACTGCCGAAAAGCAAAAGACAACCTCTTTTCAAATTAAAAACTGTCAGACTTCTGTAAACAGCAGCAATGAGGTTCATCTGTGCAGTGTCCCTGCAGGCACAGAGCGTTCGGCAGTTCCCATTTTCTCAGCAACCATAAGGTAAGAGACTTTTATACTTTCACTCTTCAGAAGCATGTAGAGGAAAAAGCCTGGAAGTTTGTTAGGGGGCTACCTTAAAAGTGGCAAAATATGATTGACTGATCCCCAAATAGTAGGGTAAGGAAAGGGAAATAAGAACTTGCTCGATTTTATCAGATAACATTGGACCTTTCTGTTGAGAAACACCCATGTGGGTTAAATCACTGAATTCCTCTTTAAGTGGAGGGTTTGTATTTAAAATGTGCAACTGGAAGAGCTCACTTTCCTTTGAGCAGGAAAAGACAAAACAGCGTATGAATTTTAACTTTTCCTACAATTAAAACTTATTGCAGTTCATTAATGGATTATAATTCCTGGTAACAGATAATCAATATCAGTTTAATTTTGGAAATGCTACGTGCTTTTCTCCTTCCTTCTGCTTTTATTCCTAAGCGGCTGTCTGTTTCCTAATCTAAAAAGTGAGCTTTTAGTACAGCTGCAAAGCAGGGAATGAAGACTGACATTGCAGAAATTAAGCAGATGACAGAAGATCCAGTAAGGGCTGGAATTACACCACTGGATAATTAAGAGCAAACTCAGTGAAAAGCAAATGAAGTTGATAGTAGTAGTGTACAGGAATACTTAATTAAATTTAAGGGTGTGTAAAGATCTAAAATCTTGGTCTAAATGAGTTGGAGTATGCGAGTAAGCCATACTTCAGTAACCAGAACGCCACATGCCTGCTTTTCAGATATGAGATATGAAAAATAGAATTCATAAAGGAACTTGCAAGTTTCCATTCTGACTTCTGTGCATTCGTACATATGTGCTCAATATAGGCAGTGAAATCTGGGAGGGGGATTGTTTTCTACCAAAATCAAATCACTGTGGAGAACTGAAATACCCAACTTCACTTGCCATACAGTGAAACAGAAAGAGCCTCTGGACTAGAAATACTACAACTTTGATCCTTGTGAACTGAAAGATTTTAAAAATGTAGTAAATGTAAAAACTTCTGCCCTACATTTCTCTCTCTGTAGCTGAGATCTTTTGTATTTCATATCTATACGATCATTTACATGATCATGAACATTTAAAGCATTATAGTGATCAGAGAATATAAAACAAACTGATTTAAAAGTCTGACATATAACAGTGATATTAGGATATTTTAATCTGTGACAACTCGTTAGACATAACACTAAAATTTTATTATAGTACTGATGCAGCATAAATAAAGTATGCCGATGTAGACAAGAAGCAATACTTCCAAGTTGAATATTCCTTTTAAAAATGTTTGGAATGTCTCTCAGAAAATTCATAGATGTGTCTGTTAAGGTGAAATTATTGTTATAATTAATACAGGAAAGATAATATGTAACTTAAATTCATAGTCAAAATGACATTTTAAACATGGCGTATTCCTGGAGTCAGCAGAGGATTGCATTGTGGAAGCAGCAGAAATCTACTGTGTAATTTATAAATTGTACGTTATGTTGAAGACTATTTTTTCAGATTACTTTTGAGTGATTTTACACTGTTTCTAAAGCTCTTATTTAGTCATCTTTAGGGCTGTCCAAAAACTCTTAACCAGAAACCTTTTGAAGTAGGAAGGCTTTTGGCAAAGTAGATTTTTAAAGAAAAGTGTTAGTTTTCCAGGGTAGCTTAGTTCTTTTGTCAAAGTATTTTGGCTGAAAACCAGAAGAATTTAGCCAAAAATATTCTCATGGTGTCTCCTGGGAAGTGTAGTTTGTGCTTTGCATTGCATTTCCCTACTGGCTGGACTTAACAGCTGAACCACGTTTCCCGTAAGGCCGTGCAGTCAGGGTCATGCTATTGTCATTTCCCTTGATGAGAGGAGTGTTAGGATGTATTTTGGGAAAGATAATCTAGTGAAAGAGGCACAGATTGGGTTTATAAGGCATCGACTGGAGGCAAAGCCCCTCGGATTATTGGTTGATAACTAGCTGGCAGCTTCTTAAGATTTGAGCGCTTTCTTCTGGTTTGCCCATGAGCCACAGACCATCCTGTCTGGGCTGTGGGAGTAGGACCCCTCAAGAGGGTTTGATATGTCAGTAGAAGGCTTAAAGCCTTTTGATATTTTTAGCCATTCAAACACCTGTGCAAGGGAGAGGACATTTAAAAAGGTTTCTAAGGCTTTGTTAGTGCTTCTGCCAACTTTCACACTAAAAGCGCTTCATTTTATATATTTGTAACTGAAAGCTGCAAGGGAGTATGGCTCAATTTTAGGAACTAGGCAAACTCTTAAGTCAAAAGGAAAACAGCTTACTAGGAGCCTGAGGCTTTAGAAAGACGGGATTTTGAAAATCCAACAAGGTGTCATCTCACCTATTTAAGTACCTTTTCAGAAAAAAACTAGTCCTGGGCAATTTGCCTGTAGTTGTAGAAGTTGTCTGTAAGGCAAGAAGAGAATGGAAGTTTGTCTGCTTGAGTTCTTCATCACTGGACCAGTCTCTTCCTTGTTTATTAGGATCCAAGGATCCTTAGCTGCCGTGACTGTTTGGATGCTGCTTCCTCAAAACTGTATCAGGAGATTGGTTAGGAAGTCCATAGGGTGTCCTGGAGGCCAGAACAGAGCAATAAGACAGATGGTGAGGAGTTTTAGGGTTTATACTGATTTCCTTCTACGCTGAATCATAGAATGGTTTGGGTTGGAAGGGACCCTTAAAGATCATCTAGTCCAACAATAAAGCATGTGAGTGAAACACGGACATGAATAAACAATTTTGCAGTGCTGCAAACTAGCTACCTGGCTCCAGACCAAGAATCCTCAATATTTATGTGCTATATGGAGCTAATGGCGGAGAGCTAAGTGCTGAAGACAGTGACTCACCACAGCCAGCAAAGTGTGTGATGGCCACAGCAGCTGTCTGGAAAATGCTTGTGAGGGAGATGCTCTGGGATTCCCTCTGCTGGATGTGGGAGTGGATGAATTCACCACCTTTAGTGCCAGGTGCCTGCAGGAACTTGACTTCCAGAAGCTGGAACCTCACTTTGAATGTGTGTGCCCAGTTGTCCTTCAGGCACGGAGACTTTGAAAACTGGCTCTTAAAAAAGTTTTCTCCAGTTCTCTTTGAAAAATAGACTGCTGTTACCTAGCTGTCATGTAATAATCTACTGGCCGGGAGCACACACTTGGGAAGCAGGAGATCTTCATGCAGCTTACTGCACTGCTTCAAACCCCAACCTCTCATCTCCTGGAAAGGTGCCTTTGGTGCTTACTGACACAGTAATTTGCAATTGGAACCACTGAACATCCAAGACTGTGTCTACAGCTCCCAAGACAGTTTCTGCTATTGATATTGCTCTGATTTTAGAAAAGAAAAAAGCCCAAACAGTCCAGGGAAGTCTATTCCTTTGGCGTGAGCACTCCTGTAAGAATCTAGTCTGCAAGCAAGAGACATCTGCCCACCATGTTTTAGAAGGGAATGGCAGTGTTTTCTATTAACCTTCCTGCTTACAGTGTGCTTAGAGGAGACTGAAGGAGTTCAGACATGTTTTCTTGATGAGCTTAAATGGACTAGGTGGGAGAATAGTGTCTTGTTACTCTCTTAGGCAAGATGTTTGCCATCTCCGGCCAACTTCTTCTAAGTAAGAAAAGCTTAGGCACTCAAGTAAATTTTCTGACAAAACCACAGGCACTTCCTACCTTTTAAGGTGGCTGAATTGTTAGGAGATGGTTTTGGATGCTTTATTTAGGCTTGGGAAGTGGCCACAGATACAGATTCAATGGTAGTGTTGCTAGTGTTGACTTAAGCAGCTCTCATCTGGAGGTTTAGGGGTGAAGAATGGGGGCAAAGGATGGAGAATGGAAAGAGAAACTGCTTCAACTCTGGCTGGTTTTTGAATGGGGACCTTGAAGAATCAAGCTGTGTTCATAGCTGTGCTCATGTTCCTGGTGCCCATCTTTGTCTGGTCTTAAGTATGACTCTGTGATTAGTTTTTTTTGGGTCCTTTTAGTATGATTCACTAACTGTGGAATAAGCATAAATAATAATAAGAAATCCTACAGATAGCACTCTAAGATTTTCAGTTTAGTTTGAGTGATTTTCAGGCTTAGTTGTGGATCCCTCCAAATTCTCCTGTGATAGTGCATATTTAGTATAGATTTTAGCAGATATTGAATCTTTATGATAATAGGCATGCATTTATTCATCTTTAGTTGATTCCTTAGCAATAGTCTGTGGGTCTTCAAGAGACCACAGATCGGAGGTTGATTTGATCTCTGTCTGGTCTGAATGCTGGGGTCAGTCTGATCGTTCCTGTGCTGCAAGGGCTGGACAATGAAGCTTACATGAAAGTAGTGCTTGGCTGGCTAAAGAACACACTGCACAGAGACTGAAAGGTTCATAAATAGTTCCCCTTCACTAAAAAAGGCACCAAAATAACTTGCATCCATTTTAAAAGGCTTCACAAGCATTTATTTCTTTAAATGTTGGTTATATTGGAGTTAAGGGGAGACAAGAAAGCATGGAATTTTTTGTAAGGACATTAATTGATATAAGTAGAACTTTAGGATTATCGTCAGAGAAAGGTTTATAAGATATCATCCAGTTTTGGGCAATTAAAACAAAGAGCTTTGAAAAAAATTAATATATGAAGGAACTGGCAATGCTTGGTGGCACGGTAATTATGGCCAATCAAAATAAAAATGTCAGACAATAATGTAATGAAGGTCTAGCACAGGAAACAGCAAAGAATGTCTTAGTACATAGGAAAAGAAAAATGTCTCTCAGTGAACTCTCTAATCAGAATGGTGTTAATGAGAAAACAGGTCTCTGCTGGCTGGCTGGTTAGTGAAGTTACGTACAGGAAATGTTAAGGAAACAGGTACTGAGAATGTGTGGCAGAGCAAGAGAATTGCTGCTTGTGCATGCTGCAGAGACTCCAGGGTGGTGGATCTGACAGCAGCATCCACAGATGTGTTTGCAGTGTTTCTCTCTAGCTATGCCATGTGCTTGCAGTTTAAAGCCAATGCAGACCTGAGGTGAGATGACGTA